ATAAGCATGGCCCTCGGGCCTGTCGCGCATCTTCATCAATCAGAATTAACAAAAGAGTTTAGTTCAGTTCAGGCTTAACCACCACTCTGCAGTGTAATGCACTCAGCACAACCAGAATCATAGCCTAAAACTGATCTTAGAGGCTATTTTTGTTTCAGTGATGAGACTAGGTTTTATTCAGAGTATCAGACTTCCACACCTGATCAAAGGTCTGCAACTATGCCTTTAAAGTCTTTAAATCAATAATTCAAACTTTGTGAAACACATCATACTCAAAATAGACAGACAAAAAGAAAGCAGCCCAATCTGTCAAGCAAGCCAACATGTTTGTCCTGCATTGTGCTTTTTATCCCTTCATATGTGGACACAACAGGTATGAGATCCAAGCCAACTAATATTACACTGGCAAGAGCTTCAGTTTCAATTTGAGAAAGACTAGATTCACATGATGGCAGGAGTGCATGATGAATTCAAATGGAATGTTGATGTGTGTGGAGTCATGTTAGTGAGTCTGTGAAACGGTGGGTATTTACAGCTACCCAACAAGCCCAGGAAAGCCTCGTTATTAGCTGTGTATGTCTCCACAGATGTGTTTGATGTTGGGCTCAATGGGCTTAATGTTGGGTTAGGGTGACCCAAAGCAATTATGCGTTTCCTCTTTCAAATGTAAGTTTTTCACTCCTAAATACTGGACCCCCTTTCTTACCTAAATCTGTTGTCATATGGTGTTTGCTTTTCTGAGTGAGGAAAACTTGTTTGTGCATTTGACCCTTTTCTTAAATACTCTCTTCTTGCTCATTTTTCTTTTTAATTTGGCCACGTTTGTGCCTGCACTTTTGTATGCATGCATGTGATTATATGTAGCGCTTAAATAAAATGACTTTCACTATCATTACATTAGGGATAATAAAATATACTTTTGCTCAATCCTATGTCCAAGTGTGGAAAAACAAATAAACAAAAAAAATCACCAGAGATAACATCTTGGAAATGTGATCTCTGAGTACGTTGCTCCAGGTAAACAGTGCAAAGAAAAACATTCCCGTCATTCCTTGAGGGGCTGAATTAAGTTTTACTTCTCTGATGCTGGTGAGCATGAAGAGCAGCGAGTTCCTCCCGTGGGTTTATGGCATCAATGATTGATGTTACCACCCTTCTCTAAATCATGTGAGAAGTACATAGCCGCTTGATACTGGCAGCCATTTTGGATTCTCCTCTAATGACCAGAGAGACAGGTTGCAGATGATGTTAGCTGACGCCGGTCTCACGGATCACTTCTTCTCTGTCAGTGATTAAGTGACTCATCTAACTCTGGTAAACAAACCCTGAGAGCAGCATCTTATGTCCATCAAAAGAAGTCTCTGACTTTTTGGGCATATCCAACTTGGAATAAATCAATCATGTCGGTATGGAAGGGAAGATGCAGTTTGTTCTCTGGTGTTTTTCCATAAACATGCATAGTTATGTGCCAAGGAACTACTCTGACATCCTATTTGCAGAAAGTTCTAATGTCTGTATATATGTTTTGCTTGATGGAAGACATCGGCTAGTTGTTTGTAACCTGCTATCAAGATATTCTGCACAAAACTACTTGATAAAATTCAATTGCTGAAGAAACATTTGAGAAATCTAAACTAACCTTGCAAACTTTGTTTTAGCTAAAGTAACAGTACCCTTCTTAGATATGTAAACCGAGACATGTGTGAAACACTTTATCAATGGGAAAAAAAAGAAATATTCTGTCACTACCCCAAAGGCTTAGTGTGCCTCGACCTGGTGGAACACGTCTTTAACAGCACAGTCTGTTCTGAACAGAGCCCAAGAAAAGCACTTACTCTGTATTGCTATTTGCATGAGTAGAGCGAGTGTGGTGATGTAAGGGGTCTTCCTTAAACTACATGGGCAGCATTGTTGGTCTGGACAAACCCTGAGGCTCAGTTTGATTTTAGTACATTCATTTAGCTTCCTCTCTTATGCAACACCATCTAAGCTTTCTGGTCTGACAGATATCAGGATCATTTGACCCCCTGAATGGGTTGCCAAAAAAGTAGAGAACTGCACTAAAAACATGTCTTTCAACATCAAACCCAATTGCAACTGTTTGATAGAAGGCTCCAATGAGAACGGTGAAAAGGCAATGATGGTTGCCAGCTTTAATGGATCGGCGTAATGTAATGTTATGGGGGATCACAGAAACACGGGTATGAGAATCTTCCAGAGCATGCGTTTGATGAGGACAATCCAAATGCTAAAAAAAAAAGACTTGTGACTGTAGGTCACTATTGCTAAATTTAAACCGTTCAGAAAAACATATTGGGAAGAAAAAAAAAACATTTTAGTTAATGAGACAATTTCACTGAATGGGGGATTTCAGGAAGTGTAACATTTAAAGGAAGGATGGATTCCTTTCATCAGTGAGATAGAGACTAAATTAAACTTAAGCTCCGACAATCTGTCTTCACCTAAATGGGGGTTGTTTGACAAAACTGTTTAGCTGAAGTATGTAACAGATGAATGATTCAGTTTTCAGGAACAGCCATCAAATCCTGCAGGGAGGAGCAATTTATTTCAAATTACATATGCAGTATTTTTACACAATGAACGCTAAACAATCCATACAAAAACCTTTCCTTCTGGTTTGTGCTCTTATCTTTCAAACTACAATTATCCCGTTTGTAAAGCAGCTTGTAAGGGGAAACTTCCGGAACTCGACTCGTAAAAAGTCTTGTTACATACCTTGGAGAGTAAATTGAAAAGGTTAATTAAACTTTTAGTGGTTTCGACAGAATTGTGTGAAATCTGATAAACTTCCTCAAGAGGTGAGTCTGAACTCTCTCTTAGGTTAAAAAATGTGGGAAAAAAAGAGATAAAAAGTGGCAAAAGATAAAAGAGCTGGAGTCTTACAGTGTGAGACAAGATTAGCCACTACTGGTATAACTGTGTGGGCCTGAGCTGTCCGTCTGGGCTAGTTCAATGGGGTACTCTTAGAAAATCTTCCCACTGGCTAGAAATGAGGCTTTGTGATAAGTGAGCTGATTTGTCTGGGCAAAAATGGGTGAAGTGCCCCTTTAATAAACAGAAGGCCCCTAAAACACATAATCTTATTGTCTCTGCAACACAAATAGCCAATATCAATGTGTTTGTCACAACTTCATCTGTCTTAGTTTACTGTCTCACACCTTTATCTCAAAAGCCAAATCAAGGTCAACAAACCAAGCCATTCTCCACACTCCACAGAGCCTATTTACAGCTCTACACTCCATTTCCCTCCATGTACAAAAAAGGGAAAAACAAAATAATAAAAACAGAAAGTAAGTATGAAAAACTGTGAGAGATCTACAATTCCCACCTGGGCATATTATGTGATAATGAGCCAACAACAGGTGAAATCTGGCTCAGTTTATCAGCTGGTGGAGTTAGTATAAGCATCATTAAGAACCAAAAAGCACCCTGTTAAAGGAAAATATGTGCCAGTTTGCAACAGCAGACTTTGATGTGTCCGCCCATATTTCAGAGGATAAGTGTTTGCTGAATGGCAGCCAACTCCTGAGACAATACTGGGCCTTTGAGATATACCATGCTCTGGAGTAGCGACGCTCTCAGGCTATAGAGGAGAGCTGATAGCCAAGTGATCCTTCAGCTGACTGAGGACCAAGGCTTTTCAGTTTAAGCCGTCAAGCAGGGGATAAAAATGATCGATGTGGGAAAACCCGAGCTGAAACAATGGGTTTTAGGCTGCTGGCCTCATTCACAGACGAAGATTGCATAAAAACCAAGCTTATTTTCCAGATAATTCCAGTTTGATTGTAAAAAATGAATAATTCTCTAATTAGACCAGATCACATGGGTGTGAGTTAGTGGTAACCACATTCTGCATGGAGGTGTATTAGGACTTGGATCCAAAGAGTGAGACATTCCAGGAGTCTGATTGTCTTGGAAAAATGTCGCAGACATGTCATTACCTGACATCATCCCTCCGCTTGTCTGTTCTCTTGGGAGGACCAACACATTGCTCTTGTTCTTCAACGAGAGCTATGTGCTGGGCAGCACCATGAGGCCAGTGAACCCCAGATAGTCGCACTCTGGCGCTGGATACCAAACAGCCCATCACAAGATAGCACGCTTCTCGCTGTCAACCACACCACGAGAAATTAGGTTAAATGGCACTATCTCCTGAATATGGGGGCCTCTTCTATTTTTATTAATGGTGCTGACAGACTCTATTCTTTGGAGAGAGACATTGCCATTCTTGAAAATGGGTATAAATAAGTATTAAGGGATCCTTGAGGATTTAGAACAATCTCGTTTGGATTGTTTTGATTGAAACAATTCAAGACAGCTTACAAAGAAAGATGTGTTTAAAAAATCTAGGATCTAAGAAATACTTCAGTTTCGTGAAAAACTGCTGTGAATAATTGGGAAGGACCTGTTTACCTCTAATTTTGTTTATGTAATGACCCTTTAAACGGCACTTGTTAGAATGGATTTTTCGACATTCTAAAATTCCTCCTTTGGGCAAATTTCTTTGATAACAACAACCGTGGTAACAAAACAGTCTGCCTTATCTACCACCATCTTTTTCCACTGGGCTATTTTGCTAGTGTGGGAAAACCTGTGCAGCTTTATGTAACATCACCTTTTAATCGCTCACACTGAAAAAACATCAGATGCAGAATGGTTTCCAGGGGCGAAGCATTCACAGCCATGCTATCAGCATCACGAGCTGTACTCAGACACTGAGGTGCTGCAAGCAAAAATCCTGCTGTATTTTAAATATACCATGTTCAGGGTACTAGTTTTGTCCCTACGAAACAGCTTAGAGTATAGCTGTAACAAAAGTGTCTGTATTTGGTAGTGAAACTGAATAAAGACTTCCTCTGTTTTTTTTGACAAAATTACAACAATAATAAAACTGACTGTGAATAATGACTGACAGCACCAAAAGCTCAAATGCTTGCAGACATGTTTCAAAGAATAGTGACCCGGCTGATACTTAGTCCTCATGTCAACAACACAAGTATGACTGAAAAGCAATAATTTAAGAAAAAAAATCTGAAAAGAACTCCTTTGTAAACATCTGACTCACCAAGCAGCTGGACTCCTCTGGTTAGACCGTAGACATCTATGAGAGCCCAAAGAGGTTCAGCGACGTGCACCCCACTAAAGAACAGCATGGGGTTGGAATCGTTGATTCGGTAGAAAACCCGACCCTTCTTATCCACCCAGAAGGAGATGACGTTTCCCTCGTTGGAGAGCTCCTCTGGTAGAGCTTTTGCCCAGAAACCGCTTTGAGAGACCAGGTCAGGACAAGCATATTTGGGTAGGGTGTCTGGATTGATCCTTGATGGGTCTTTGGATGTAAAACCAAGACGCAACGCACCGCTCCAGCAGCACTGCTTTTTAGTGATCTGGAGATTATAAATGTTGAATTAATGCACAATATTAATTAATGATTTAATTATGTTAATATCTACCAACATATAAACTAATAAAATCACAAAAAGCTGTATCTGTAGCTTCTTTCAGAGAAAAAGAGGAAATGTATTCTGTAAAGCTTATTTTACAAAGATTAGTGTATATACTCACCCGACTATGCTACTAGCCCACTAAGAAAATCTTTTCTGTGTTCAGACCACTGTGACAAAATTGTGTTATACGCTCCTGATGATGAACAGTTATAATAGTTACACAGCAGTAAAAAGTGAATTTACTGAAAAGCAGAGCAAGGGGATCATTTGGAGAGAATGTAAAGACCTACAGGGCTGTGGCTCTTCCATCGGATAACAATAGTAATGCTCCCCTGTTTCCTTATCATAATCTAAAATGTCTGTCATATCTAAATCTTGAATTGATTTACGGCACTGAGTGAAAGATTTGTCAAAATGACCGTATCATGAGGACTGCAGTGTCTGTGCTTTACGTAACCATCCCACTTACAGTTGCTAAGACGTTTCAGTCAGAACCAACAAAGAAACTAACATTCCTATCCTGAGTGCCAAACCACAAGCTGCACTAAAAACAACAGATCAAACTCACTGAATCTGTAACCCTGTTTATCAGCTGCAAGTGATTTTTGTCTCATTTCGAACCTGTACTCACATAGTATTTACTGTGCAAGATAACAGTGTTCCTCACATGGCAATGCTCGCCCTGCTCTCTCACTTTCAAGACAGAGATGGCCCGATATGCGAAGTGGAAACTTGTTCTGACAAGCTGATTTTTTGGCCCACACAGGACAAGTGAGAGAAAAAAGCGAGAAAACCAAAACGGGACGAAAAAGGCCGGAGATGAAATGAAGAAGTTAGGAAGTGCAAAGAAAAAAAAAAACTGGCGGAACGAGTGAGAGAGAAGATGGACTACAGGTCATCACGGCCACAAATCACTGGACTGAATGCACTGGCACTACAATGACTATTGATTGACTGCTAAAATCGATCCTGCATTATCTTGGACCAATGAAACGAGACATTAAGGTGACCAGTTGCTTTAAATCAGGGTGTGCTCTCATGAAACAAAATGACTGTGTTTACCTTCAGTCTGACTTGCTCATAGACAGCAATGGGCCTGTTGGTGAAGGTGATGGCATTACAGAAGCTGGCCAGCCTCTTGACGGTCCTCTGTGACACATCCATGACGATCTGCGACCCTTTGGTGCTGGGGTGGAAGAGCAGAGGGAAGGAGGACAGATTTCCACATGGCTGGATCGGGAGGCAGCGTTTGGGCTTGTGCTGGCAACGGTGTGACGTTGCAGGGAAAGAGCTGTTCAGGGAATCTGTGTTGAAAAGAAAGTCTGCTCAACAGGTATGAAGAGGCTAATTTTTCTTGAGTCTCACTATAAAGCAAAAATATTCACTTTTCAAATAAGATTAGAATATCGGATTAAACCGTCTGAATAGCAGAGGACACGACTACCATTACAATTAACGGGCTGAGGCCGTGACCTCTTGTTAGATGTCATCATCTCTCAGATCTTTCTGAGTCCTGCAAAATTTAGTTAAAAAAAAATCTTGTTTTCTTGTCTCTGACTCATCTAACTTATATGTGAACAAAATGAAAGGTGAATCAAGTGTTCCAGAATGTCCCTTACAAGGACGTTTGGCACGTGATCAACACTGAACCTCTTCCAAGCAATTAAAGAGAACAATGCGGCTGTGAGAGTTTCACACAAAACAGTCAAATCTGAGCCATTTCCAGTAGTACTTGTCATTTTTTATCCTTCTTTATCTTGCCAGAACTGATTTGTATTCATTTTGTTGTATTGTATTCCTGAACTATCTCTTCTTTCTGAGCTTTTTGTGGAACAAATTTGTACAAAACAAAGTATGTTGCTACAAAGGAAGAAGGAAGGGAGTGCTAAAGAAAGACCACAAAGTCAAGAAAAAGTTACCTGTGGGAAACACATGGAAATATCTGCTGGCTAATAAGACCTAAAGAACCTTTAAGAAAAAGTGAAGCATGTTGTAAGTAGTCCACATGAATCATTATAGACAGAAAATCATGCAAATACATTTTCCTGCCAGGTGCAAGGTGTTTTATGTGGTTTGAAGTTATGGACAGTGGCAGACATGACCCACTGATTGTGAGTCACAGTATGAGCCAGAAGTTTCTGTTTTTTCCCATGTGAAAATGTGAATGACTGTTCCGGCTTACGGTATCTCCTAATGGTGACAGACATCTATATTTTGGGCTGTTTACGAAGATAACGGCCCAGCTCAAAGACATTGTGGAGCTGGTTTCACATGGACTCCCCTTCATTTGGATCAACCCTTCCTCTTGTTTCCAAATTCTTCTTTAAAGCGCAACACCAAGGTCACTGCGGTTTAGTGGGGGCGGCATTTTCTCACAGACTGTGGGTTCTCATTAACCATGAGGCAGGACTATTTTTGATTTGATGACAAACATGAGTATGTGTCTCATCTCATTATATGATTTGATGCAGTTTTTGTCCTACAATCCTTCTGTGGATTTTACCGTCACATTTAAAAGGGTTTAGAGTATTATAAAATCCAGTCAATCTACCAAGGCTGGAAATGTTTAATCTAAATTAACACTTCTTCATCTTTGAGAAATTGTTGTATTTTCACACCTAAGCCTGAAAGACTGTGTGGGAGCTGCTTGTGCTTGTGAGAGAAATATGAGCCACTGTAGCTAATTTTACTTTCTCTCAGTCGACTTTGAAGAGTCAAAAGGTTTATAATGCACCCTGGAGACAAACCAATTAAGCCTGTCTGGATCATGTGACATGTAAATCTAGGTTTGTCAGAACACCAATCCTACCCCCATTTCAAGGTAATGATTAGGGCAGATGAAGATGTCAGAGGTAAAACGTTGACATAAAAACGAGAAAGAGCTGCTCATTTCTACAAAGTCTTTCCGCTCCCATCGCAATTGGTGAATCTTTGCCAAGTGCTCTGGGCGCAAAACAGTGTATTTGTTGAGCTATTTGTACACCCCTTGTCACTGCAGAACAACAGCGAATTGTACTCTATGCACAACAGTGGTCCTAAATGAAGTCATTACAAATCCATCCACCATATTGCTTCCATGATGTCATGCCAGACATGATGTGTTCAGGGAAACACAACAGGACTGTACTCTACCCATCTGAGAACCAGGTCTAAGAATACATAGATTAATTCCAATGAAATCTGGAAACAGATACCACACCTCACAAAGCGCTGTGAATATCATCTCACTTTGCATTTTCACCCCAGGCATCTTTAAGAGGAAATATATGTCATGCAAAATTCAAATAAGTTCATAAAATCTGAATTAAAATTCCACTTTTGTTTTACACCATATGGCAGCTGGTTAAAGCCAAATTTGGCAATGAAACAGCAGTTCTTGAAGTGCGTTTAAAAGATCACGTAACCAGGCAGAGTCATCAGGACAAGCAGACATCAGCCCTGGCAGAGGAAAACAGAGGTGTAACAGCGAACACAGTGAATGGAGATTGTATCTTAATGTACCACTGTAGACAATGTCACTGCCTTTACTGTCTTTACTGGTGAAGACAGAACAGAGACGATGAGCAGCCCTGGCTTGTGTCACCTGCCTCATACGTACTGTTCAACGTCTGGGCTCTTTAAGGAGACTCAACAGAGGCCCTAACATGGTGTGAGGTTAGTTTCAAGAATCCCAAGACATACACTGGAAGGTATGCAAAAGAGCCAAAGGGCACGTATATGTTTTTACATTTTACAAATAATTCACAACTTGTGGAACTTCAAGAAGAGCTGAAAAAATATGACTCCCAAAGACTTGTTTGTACAAGGCAAAATAGACTCTCCACTTACCTATATCCTCATTCTCAGATCTCAGATTAGTTATTTTGACTAAGTAATACAAGGCGTGAGGAAATGTTGGGCAACTAGAGAAAAGTAAGAACGAAAAAGTTTAGCATGCAATGCAAAGTTTGGGTGGGCTTTTGATGCCAAAGTGGAATGCCCTCATTACTATCATGATACTCTCCACCAATAGTCCAAAGCTAATAATATACTCAAAAAAGGAAAAAAGTGGTCATATTCAGGTTCAGAAACTAAAACTTTTGTTGAGTGTTTAAAAAAAACTCTTAACAAGTACCTGTGTATTAACCCATTCAGAGTTTTTCCTAAAAACCTAAAGCTGTCCACCAAAATATAACATGAAAGTAAGAACAATTTTAGAGACTCAGTCTATAACATTCACTTTCAAATAATTCAGTTTGGTTCAATGTTTGCCAATGCTAAAACAAAAACAAGAATAATCGTTCTTTGTCTTAAAAATGGTTGTCTTTCATGAGCTGTAAGTCTCATGAGAGCTTGTTTGTGTATTTGTTGATTTTCCATCAATTTGCTAATTTCTAAGTAATACCAAGTCTTGAAGTAGTCATAATTCTTAGATCTGCGTCTGATAGAGGTACTTTGTGAGAATGAAAAAAACTCAACATTTTCTTGAACATATTAAGCACTTTTGTCCCTCAGAAATGTAATAATGCTCATCTCTTTCCAACCACCAGAGTGTAACACCTAAACACAAGTAATGCAACCATGCTGGTTTACCAAATGGGGAGAAGAGAGAGCTTAGTTGTTCATGAGCCCTTGGATGGGGGCCCTGAAACATGACATGGATTATAGATGTTTACATGTTCAAGGCCCTAACTGAGCTCTTGAAAGAAAGACATTTTTAAAGTATCCCTGCATGCATATGTACTGCTATTTCACACAAGTTTTCTCAAACTACTGGAAATGCCCATCTGCGAAACTGATTGTTACTGTTGCCTATTTATCAGACAACACATCACTCAGTCATCAGGTTTTTTTTGCTCAGAGAAACTGAAAATGAACATCAAACCACCACAACTTGCAAGTGCAAATTCCACACACTTTCAAGTTGACATGCAAATTAATATTATGAAAAAGACATTGACTGATTTTTTTTCAAGCAAGTTTCTTTTAATAATCAAGCTTTTGTTTATGAACTAGACACTGCCCACCATATTTCTACAGTTCAACATGTCAAGTTTAACAATTTGAAGAGATAATCCGCAAAAAATCCTTTCATTCTTTTAAAATAGTTGCTTAATCAATCCAGTTACTTCCTGTTGTTGCTCTAAAATGGATACACGAGTATTTTTTTCCTTTATTTCTAAGACTTGCATTTTAAATGACAAAACTGAGTCTGAAGAAAGCAGAGGACACTTTACTTGCAAATCAGAAATAGGTTTTGTCATAAAAAAGTGAATCCTTTTATTTCCTTCAAACACTTCGTTGTTTTGAAGCCAAGTAAAGAGTAGCAACGAACGTCGAACCAAATTCAAGCATCTGAAACTTTAAAATACCGTTATGCACCTGTTAACTGTCATCCTTTACATCACGTGTCACCAGTTAAAGGCGATACAGAAATACACTTAATGAATGCATAGTTGTTGCTCACAATTGTGAAGACTACAGGTGTTTCACTTTCACCTAAAGCCTCGAAAAACAAACACACTGTTCAACAACTTGGCGGAGTTCGTCCTCTTAAGCTTCTCTTAACTGCTGGAGAGGTCTCAGGAAGACAGCTGAAGACATGTCATATGGTTTACACGCATTGTGAACGAGAAAAATAACACCACGATATTAGAAACAAGTCGTGACTGACAAAACGTTGCTTAAAGTTGCCTACTTTTCACCCTCATTTATTTTAGGCTGACAGCACGCCTACAGATTCCGTGCACACTGGCTTGAGGTTACACAAGCACCCACACAACTCGATTTTATTCCTTCTGTTTTAAAATCGCAGTATTCCTAATCCCCCCCCCCCCTTCACGCACACACACACCCACCCACCCACACACACACAGACGCACATATGTACATATATAAATATATATATATATATTGGGTCTCGTGCACCCTCTTGCCAGATGGACTTACCGTACAAGGTGTTTCTGGTGATCTGACCTCCCATGGCTGCATGCAAGGTGCGTTCACCTCCTCTGACGGCGACCTGAATCCACAGACCTCACATGGAGCTGCGCGTCCTCAGCACGTTCACTCACCGACAGCACGCACAGACCCGCGCACGCTCTCGCGCAAGCGCACCGTCCCCCGTCAGACCTAAAGCGCCAGGCTGCGCGCGTCCAAAAGCCCGTATCGATACTACGCAGCCGGGGCAGCAACCAACATGTTCACTCTTGGGCGAAGTGATCACGCTGAAATTAACATAAAAGGTGGCAGTGGAGGTGGAGCTTCTCAGGATTATTAACGCTGTAGACACCAAACACAATTCTTCAACGTTCGTTCGTAATTGAACGTGAACGCCTCTT